CCCCAAAACCCCAAAACCCCATAAGATGATTTATGATATCAATATAAGAAAAATAAAATTGAGTCTAAAATAAGCTCAATCATTGATTGACTGATGAGTTCCTTATTAAATCTGATAAGATAATAAAAGATACGATTTTGCTTATCTCTATAATTTAAAAGATTCAATTAGCTAACCAAGCAAAGGTTTCTAATACCCCATTCATTATGTCAAACGATATAATCAGAATACCACCCTATTACTACATTCACGTGTAGGATAGGAATGCGAACATTACCAGATTGGTTTAAGGCCCTCTGAATTTCAGCAAGCTTGATCATGAGATCATAGTTACTGGAAAAAGTCCAGTTCCATATATTTTCTTGAAACCATATCACTACTGCCAGATCAATGATCCAGTAGTTAGAGACGGTGACAAAAAGCTTGTACTTGAAAAGCACGGTCAAGTTAAAGTTAAAATCGGTGAAAGTGAATACAGAATTCATCAAGACTACCCTGAACCATTCCCACTATTCCCTGGTGAGTCTCTAGTCAAAACTGATTCAATCCCTGTTGTCCCAAGAGGCTAATCCATTAAACTGGAAGCTGTCAGAGACTTCACTGATGAGGATGGAAAGAAGAGAATGTCTGGAGACTAGTGGATCATGTACGGACCAATTCTCTACATTCCAAGAGTCGAAGTCTAAGTGCTATAGATTTCATCACCCTATGTAATTGGTGCAAATCAAGCCATTAAGGTCAAGGCTAAAAGATAGACCAAAGACTATAAGAACAGAGCAAGAGAAGCTGGAGAGGAATGGCTGATTAGAGAGAGAGGGCCATACGTCTGTGGAATCGACGAGGAATATTGCCACTTTGTTCACGGTCAAATCATAGACCAAAAGTCAGCTATCTTACTGAAGGCTAATCAACCATTCGAAGATGTCTATGGCAAGCTAAGAAAGGCTGGAGAGCAATGGCTAGTAACTAACTAGGACGCCAGTGTACACATTGTAGACATTCATGAAACATTCGTCGAGACAAGATACAGAATTATCTTGAGAGATGACGAATTCTGCTACATTCTCAACCCAGTAGATGATAAAGGCTAGAATCAACTTGGAAAAAAGATTCTCAAAACAGGACCTTAAAGTTTCTTCGTCCAACCCGGTGAAGAAATAGCTGGAGGAATCCAAAACGTTTACATCCTCGGAGAAGACGAGGCTCTGCTCGTAAGAGCTGAGGAGACTCATACCGAGGCTGAAGGTAAGGTGAGAAACGCCGTTGATAGATGGATGATCTATGGACCTTGCAGATATATTCCACCAGTTGAGGTATATATCATTGAAAAGAGAAAATCCATCCCACTAGATACAAATGAAGGAATCTATGTCAGGGACAACAGAAACGGTTCGATCAGATCAGTATGCGGCAGAACTTACATGCTTCAAGAACATGAAGAGCTATGGCCAATGCCACTTGACACTACAGTTGAGGAGCTACTAGGCTTTACTGGGAAGAAAAGAGACAAGACCAGATTGATCACCTACAAATGCCCATTCAATTCTGCTGTCTAAGTTTACGACTACAAGAGAAAGAAGTCAAGAGTTATCTTGGGTCCAGACCTTGTCAAGCTTGAACCTGATGAACAGTTCACGGTGAATTATCTTTCAGGAGGCAAGCCAAAGAAACCAGGCGTCATCAAGACACTCCACATTGGTTTAGGTCCAGATTTCTTCTCTGATATCTTTTAGGTTGAAAGTAGTGATCACGCTATCTTATCCTTGCAACTGTCATATAACTGGCAGTTCCAATTCAACAGAGAAGACATGGACTCTCTTGTAAAGATCTTTAATGTAAAGGATTTCGTCGGAGATGCCTGTAGTGCAATAGCCTCTAAGGTCAGAGGAGAAGTAGCTGGCACCAATTTCGAACAATTCCATAAGCTATCAACTAGAAAGATTAGACAAGCTATCTTTGGACTTGATAAGGAGGGAAAGATCTAAGATAAGTTTGAATTCTTGAACAACAACCTATTGATAACTAATGTCGATATTCAGAAGGTCGAGCCAGTTGATGCAAAGACCAAGCAGTCCCTTCAAAAGCTCGTGACCCTTGCCATTGAGATTACTACTAAGATGCAAGAAGCTGAGGCAAAGAAGCTTGCAGACCAAAACGAGCAAGAGGCTAAGGCAAGACTTCAAAAGAGAAAGATTGAAGATGAGGCACTGGCTGAGAAGGAAAGAAGAGAGCTGTATAACCTGCAAGCTGAGTGCGAGTCAATCAGAACCACTGGTCAAGCTAAGGCTGAGGCTAAAGCTTTATCTTTACAACTTGAGATTGAAGGTAAGGCATAAGTTCAAATTGCTGAACTTAAAGCCAAAGCTCGCAGAATTTTAGAGCATGCAAAACTTAGATATGAAAAAGAAGTAGCATTGCTTGACCTCGACAGAACAACAAGACTTAAGTAATTAGAAATCAGAAAAGCCGAAACTCTTGGAGAGATCGATTCTAACAAATTCAAGCAGTACGTTGAATGCTTGGGCAGAGATACTCTTGTGGAGTTGGCCAAGGCTGGTCCAGAGCTCTAGGCTGAGATTCTTAATAGTCTCGGCTTGAAGGGTTACATGATCATGGATGCAAACAATCCAATCAATCTCTTCCAGTCAGCAAATGGCATCATGAACACTCTACCCGTCAACTTGCCTAAATGATTAAGAGTTATCCTCTGAATTTAGATGAGAGCATATAGACTTATTTCTTGTTTTAATTTCATTATTCAAACCATTCACCACCACATTCATTTCACAATTCATCACGGGGTTTTGGGGTTTTGGGGTTTTGGGG